AACTGGGGTGGTGTGTGTGTGTGTGTGTGTGTGTCTGAGGCCAGGGGCTCTCAAGAGTCTCAGGATCTCACAAGGTGACTTCAGGTAAGAGGTCTCTTCCCTTCCCGGGAGGTTGGGAGAGATGGGGTTGGGGCTTGTAAGGAGAGGCAGTGCCAGGTACTCACTCACAGGGGTGGTGTGTGCAGCGCGGCAGTCCTTCCTCCAGCCTCTGGGTTCTGAACTGCGTCTGCATCAAGCGGAGGCTACAGAAAAGGAAGTGACACACCCTGGGGTGGGGGAGACTTGGGGATGTGGGAGAGACTGATCTAGAGACAGTGGGGGAGACAGAGGTGGGGTCGGGGCCCTGGGGTGAACGAAGAAGGCAGGGTCCCAGAGGAAGAAGCATGACAGTTCGCCCATCGAGTCCTTACCCCAGATACACACATGCCATGATGTACCTGGGTGGAGTAGCGGGTCACACGCTGGGGCTGCAGGTTGACGCCACCAGCACTCGGGGGAGATGCAGGGGTCTTTCCTCTCCGGAGAGGATTTCGTCTCGGAGACCCACAGGGCCAGCTCTGCTCTGTCCTATAGGGTCCCTGTGAGTCTGCTCCATGGCAGGGAGGAGGCATTTGCCTTCCTTTCACCTGCGCAGGGGTTGAGGCTGAGAGGTAAGAAGAATTTAGCCTAAGGTCACCCAGGTGGGAGGTGGCTGGCTGCAATGTAAAGGCAGATCTGCCTGATGCTGTCCCTACCACGCTCAGGGTGCTAATTCCCACACAGGGCACGGTGGCACTGGCTTCCCAAGGCTTTTCAGGGGCTTCCCGTTTTTTCCAAAGCAGAGAATGAGCCTTTCTTCGGAGGAGCACCGGGGCGGGTTCACGCCACCACCAAGCATTTCATCCAAATACATCCCCAGTATTTCATCCAAATGCATCCCCAAGGACACCAAGGAGCACACTGGCTCCAACACACTGTCATCAAGCGAGTCCATCCCGACTCAGAGTGACCCTCCGAGTCCGAGCAGGTCTGCCCCTTGTGGGTTTCTCAGACCGTAACTCTTTGCGGGAATAGAACGCCTCCTCTTTCTCCCAGTGGAGGGCTGGTGGTTTCGAACTGCCAACCTCATAGTTAGCAGCTCAACATGTAACCCATAAGGGGTCCTCGCGAAACATGGTAGAAAGGAAGAACTACAGAGGCAGTGGACTCTGTAGGGAGAGAGTGGTGAGACTATGGGTCGTTTTGGAAACTGTATGGTAGTGGGTGCTTAACGACCCAGGATCTGGAGTCCAACTGCCCTGGTTCAAATCCTGCCTCTCCCACCCGTTGTAGGAGCTAAGGTCACTTCCCCCTTCCTGTGGCTGTTTCTCATCTGTCAAGGGGGGCTCATAGGAGTGTTGTCAGAATTCCTTGACCTCCTGTCTACCTATTGCTTAGAGCAGTGCCTGGCACCTAAGAGTACTAAGGGCGCAGCAGGAGAGGCAAGAAGTAATGGTGGTTGGGAGTGGAGAGGCAGCCTTTGGGGCAGCTGGGGATTTGGAGAGAGGTACACAAACCCAGGCTCAGAGGACCTAGGGGCCAAGATGGCAGTGAAGCCTAACGAGGCCCAGAGGAAGCAAAATGGAGAACCGGGCGTGCTGTACAGAGGCAAGTGTGGAGCCTGCAGGGGGATCCGTTATGGAAGGTTGGTGCAACTCACCTCCTGCCCACCCTTGGGCCACAGGGAGCTTTGAGAAATGGACCAGAGGTCTGCTTCCCAGGTCTGCCTCCCCGTCCAGAAGGCAAGGACTGCTGCCAGCAGGCTGCTGGCTGCAGCCACAGCACCTAGCTGTGCCTGTCTCCTAGTCGGTGCCCAATAAACATGAGATGGGCAGCCCTCCCCGCTGGGAGGAAGCCTCTGCGGTGGGGGACTGTCTCCTTCCACTCCCTCTATCTACAAATG